AGAGCTGGCTCTCAATCAGCCCAAGACCACAGATGCTTAAAACTTAAGAATGACTGGAGGTCCCAGGGCTGGTTCAGGATGAGGTACCCTCCCCAAAGGAGGCTGGTAGGTCCCTAAGGTGCTGGACCAGTATCTCGGGTGAATCTGCCTTCCCTCCACTGCCAGAGTGCAGACATGCTCAGGACCCTGCAGCCCAGATCTGGCACCGCTGCGGCTCCTGTTATCATGGGCTGAGCAGCCTCTCACCTGGCCCACCACACACTGCCTCGCCTGCCTTGCCCCTGTGACTTGGCAATGGGAGCATGAATGTGTGGGAGTATGTGTACAGCCGGGCTCCAGGCTGGGGTGCTGGGCGGGAAGGCCGTTGATGTAACAATAGCCACTTAGCTTAAGTGTCTTGTTTTGGCACAACAGCTTCCTCTTGGTACAGCAACTGTGGGGTGGACTGTGCTCTGCCAGGGTGCCAGGTGCTGGGGGGAAGCACAGGGAAGCCAGGGTCGGCAACCAGGAGGAGGCCTGGGCAGCACAGGTGGAGGCTGGCTCCTTTCCACGGGAAGCGGACCCCTGACGGACTGGAGAGCCCAGCGGGGTCCATTACCCCAGTATTGGCAGGGAAGCGATGGGGGAGAAACTGAGGCTGCAGGTTGCTGGGAAATCAGTGTTCTTTAAACTGATGCATGAACAAATGAATAAGGTGTTTAGATTCTCATCTAACAAGACTTTTTTTCCTGTGTATATGAACATCCTAAAGCAGAAGGAACTAGACCAGTTATTTTCAAGTTCTTTGTAGCAGCAGCGCCTGTTCACTGAAATAGAATCTTAAGTGGATTCCATCATGTAACATCTTTTTTTTAAAGATTTATTTATTTACGCATACAGAACTGGGGTACAGGCCAGAGGTGCAGGGGCAGTGAGAGGAGTCACCAGAGACAGAGTGGGCAGCAGATCACGAAGTACACTACTGAGGGGAGCAGCTGGCAAGACAGGAGAGGTCTACACAGCACTATGTGGGACACCTCGGGGGCCGGGGATCGAGCTTGCAGTGCAGCGTCCTAACCCGCTGCGCCACTGGGGAGGGCCCCCATCATATAACATCTGGTAACATTGAAAAGGGAATCTTCTCTATTGAGGTGGGGTAGAGAACATCAGGCCCTTTACTGACTAAACTGATCTTGGAGGTGTCTTCTTAGAACCTCTAGAACTCTGTGGAACCCTGTTTGAAAACAGTGGATCATCCGGCCCTTTCATTTTATAGAATAAAACAGCAGAGACCCAGAGGAGGGTATGACGCCCTGGGAACACAGGAGTTGGCCAGGAGCGTGGCCCCTGTGCCTGCCTGCCTCAGGACAATGGCTTCTTACGCCTGAGTGGGTTTCATTCCAGCATGATGGGGGTCCCAGAGATGATAGTGTGTGGGGGGGTGAGGGTGCTGGTGAGTGAGTGGGAGAAGGTGCTTGGGAAATCTGCCTGTATTCTGAGGGGACTTTGTATTTATGGGGTTTCTCTGGGTTTCGGGGGGCGGGGTCAGAGGGAACCCTGCACATCCAAAGGAACAATGAAGCTTTAGGCTGAGAAGTGAGGATGTGAAAGAAGCCACGATCCATTCCACTGTGGTTCAGCCCAGATCCACAGAGGCCAGGTCATTCCAGCCCCCACTAGAAGTGCTTCTTTACCCCTGCCATGGCCCAGACCCTCCCCCCACCCCAGCTCTCAATAGGGAAGGAGGCTTTTTGGGTGCTATCAGAGGGCATGCCTGAGCTGTCATGGCACGCCCGAGTGCTTTCTGTCTAGCTCATTGTGCTGGTGTCCGCCTTCTGGATGTTCCCGACATCAGGGTCACTGGAAAGCTGTTGGAAGGACCCAAGTCTGGTGAGGAGCCCTTCTCATTGGAGCCTGATGAGGGGCAGGTGGAGAGAGAACAGAGATGTGTAGCCACCGTGGGATAGGCAGGAGCCAGAAGATCAGGAGTTTGGTCTTGGCATCATCTCCAGCTGGCCGTGTGACCTTAGATCATTCGCATTGCCTTTCCGAGCCTTAAGAGCCTTAATCCCCTCATCAGTGCGATAAAGGAGGACTAGAGAGCTTTCCGGATCTTCCTAGCTCCGGCCACCTGTACTGTGCCCAGGCTGCCGGGTGTGGCTCTGTGATGAGAGGGCCCAGGGCTGAGGGTGGGACCCAGTCAGCTCGTGCTGGACACGCGGGCATTGATCGACCTGGCCTCAACTGTGAATTCTGGAGTAGCTGCTGCTGTGCGTGGGCAGTCTTTAGGTCTAACACATTTTTTTAAATATAATAGATTATTTTTACATCATTTTTTACATTTTTTTCATCTCAATTGTAATCCCCGTGGGTCTCCCATGTGCCATCACCATAGTCCCATGCACTTCCCTTCCTCCCCCCTGTTTTTGATCCCATTCCCCACTCCATCCCAACAAAATGTCTCTGGTATATGGTTGTTCATTATTTTTGTTATTTTCTCGCCTGGTCCATTATACTCCTGCTATGAGTGAAACCATCCGGTATTTTTCTTTCTCTTTCTGGCTTATCTCACTAAGCATGATCTTTTCCAGCTCCATCCAAGTTGCTGCAAAAGACATGTGTTTCTCTTTTTTGGTTGCTGAGCAATATTCCATTGTATATATGTACCACATCTTTTTAATCCAGTCATCTACTTTTGGGCATTTGGGCTGCTTCCATGTCTTTCCAATTGTAAATAAAGCAGCAATGAACATGGGGGTGCAGGTATCTTTTTGAATCAGTGGTTTTGTGTCTTTTGGGTAGTTACCTAGGAGTGGGATTGCTGGGTCGTAGGGAAGCTCCATGTTAAGCAGTTTGAGGGACCTCCTACTGCTTCCATAGTGGAGGTCTAGCACACCTTTTAACTGGCTGCTTCCTGCTTCTGTACCCTGAGCGGCCCACACGCTCCGACCCCAAGTCCAGGTGGCCACCTGAGGCCCAGGCTCAGTCATAGCAGCAGCCACAGCCCTGAGATGGAGCGGCCCTGCAGTGGCTGTGACATCAGCCAGCACAGAGGGCTCCTCTCCTCCAGGACTGGACTTGCAGGAGCCTCAGAGGGGCCGGGCAGGGCACATCTGGGCGCCTGTTAACTTACTCCAGTCCTCCACCAGGTAAGCGCCCCTGGGACAGAGTTAGCAGCCTTAGGAAACCATGAAAGTGCCCCTTCACCTTAGGATAGGGGCTCCCCTGGTGGCTGTATTACGGACAGCACGGAGCTAGGTGCAGGGCCCCTTGGGCTTTTGTTCCTCCTCTGCTCTGAGGTGAGTGACTTTGGGCAAAGCACACAGATGCTTTGGGCCTCTATTCCCTCGCCTACAAAATGGGAAGGATAACCCTCATTGGCGCCTGTGCCCCAAAGCGCTTGGGAGGTGCCAGGGTCTCGTGGGCTCCTCCTGGGCTGCCCCTCACTGCTCCCTGTGGGCTCCCAGGCCCACATGCTTTCCCCCACTGCCTCATGCCCCAGAACACTCTTGTGGGCCAGACAAGTTTTAAGTGGGGACCCCCCCAGGAACTGCAGAGGCATGGATGGAGGGTAGTTGTGGAAACTTGGGGTATCCACCTGGCTGCTGACAGGATAAGGGTTCTCCACTCCATGACCCCAGGCAGTATCCCCAGAGAGCACTCAGGGTGGATAGAGGGAGAGACAGGGCCAGGAAAGAATGACTGGCAATATTCGGGGGCCCTCAAGTTAGCCACCCTCTGGCTCCTCCGCCCTGGGAAGCTGGGGGACCTCTGATTTGCAGGCTGGGTGCGGGATCCTGGAGCCCTGGCCCAGGGGCCAGTCACCTGAGTTCTATTCCTGGATCTCCTGTTCACTGCCACATGCTAGCTGTTGGGCCGGTTCTGGTCCGGACTCTGCCCCCTGTCTCTCAGGATCTTGGGCAAGAGGCCTCCTCCCCTCTTCCCTCCGCACTTGCTCAAGGCACCTGGTCTGAGGGCGAGGTCAGGCCTCTAGGAGGGAGGCTGGATCCCAGCTCGGCTCTCCAAGAACAGAGGAGAGGAAGCCAGTCACTGATGCTGCCGTGGGGTAGCCGTCAGGGAGCGCTCCCGCAGGGAGGGGCGGCCGGCTGGTCAGTGAGCTGGGCGGCTGCTGAGGGTCTCCTCTTCTGGCAGTCGGAGACAGCTTCTCCCCGCCTGCCGCCTGCCGCCTTGGGTAGGTGTTCAGGGGCAGGGGCCTTCCCCTGAGGGCTGCCCTTCATGCTGCTGTCCCTGCGGGGCTTTGTGCCTGTTCACATGGCTTGTGGGGCCCCTCAACTGTCCTCCAGTCCTGGTCCATCTGCACCAGAGCACCAGCTCTACTGAGGCCATGGCCTCTAGGATCTCCTTTTTGGGGGCTGTTGCCCCTTCACCTCCCAGCCCCAGCTTGCCCTCTCCCCCCCACACCTGGGAAGATTGCACAGTGGCCCCCCGGGTACTGAGCAGGACTCAGCCCGACAGGCCACGGAGAGAGCACCACCGCCCTCCACGCTCGGAGAGGGGCCCAGGCGGTCTCTGACGGAATCCTGGCCTCCCTGTTTCCTGACAGCCTGGGCTGCGTGTGGGCGGTTCTGGACTTGGCTCCAAGGAGGTGAAGGACAGGAGGCCCCTCTGCCTCTGGCCACCCCCCACTCCCTCATGCACGTGCATTGTCCCCTTTCTGACTCCCTCGCAGTGCTCCTGCCTCACAGCACATCCCTCTCCGCCCCCACCTGCCTGTGGGGACGCATGACCTCTGCTGCTTGCACACTTCCCAGGCCGCCCCCTTCGGTGTTGCCCATCATCATGGGTTACCACATCCAGGTCATGGGTCCTGTGCAGGAAACAGCCTGAACTGTTCACTGGGAACCAGAAGATGGTGGTAGAGCCCCTGTGAGACCACCAGTCAGTTTGGGGCCGTCGGCATACGGTTTTGTCCCTCCACACCCCAGTTTCGTCATGTATAAACTGAGAATAATAATTCTTGTCTAGCTTCCTAACTAGGAACCGTGTAAGAATCACGCGAAATGCGTGAGAGCACTTTGCAGACTGTAAATGCTGAAGAAGTGAAGGACGTTACCACAAACATCTGGGTGCTGTTGGCCCAGGCAACTTGCGTATAGTAGAGATTGGGGAGAATCCAAGTTCTGACTCTTACTTGACGCGTGAGCTGGGCATGTTTCTAAACTCCTTCGCCGTCAGTTTCAACATCTATAGAATGGGCTCACAGCACCGACTGCACAGCGCTGTTTTGAGGTTGAAATTGGATCAATGGGCGGTTGGTTATCTCTGCTGTGGTGATTCACAGGCGCTTGTGTTCACTGTGTTTATCTGGGGTAAGGAGGCAAGATGAGTCCCATCTTACATGAACACAGACACTCAAGTGTTAACGTCCTTGCCCAAGGTGACCCAGTTAGGCATGGATGCCGTCCTATTTCAACACACATGCTTCTATTTCAAGCCCAGCATCTTAAACAGATAAACAAACACCCACCATCGTGGCTAATGGTGGCCAAGTCCTCACTGACATGTATCACCTATCACTACAATGCGACTGACTCACCTCATAGAGAAGGAAACCAAGGCGCCAGAGGTGAGGTTGCTTGTCCAGAGTCACCAGCTCTGTGACTACTGTGATACTGGGGAATCCCATCTATAGGGTTCCTAAAACTCCCCGGGGCCCAACTGTGGACAGTTCTACAAGACTCCTCTGTCCTCAGCCCCAGTCCCAGACTCCCCAAGGCGCTCTCAGTGCTACAAGGTCTCTCCTTGTGCAGAGATTTCAGGGAGAAGACTGAGCTAAGTAAGGCTCTTGCTGCTGACTCCAGAAGGCAGGGGCTTGGAAGCACTCAGCCTCGGGCAGAACTCTGGCTATTTAACTCTGGGCAACATGCACTCTGAGCCTTAGTTTCTTTATCTGCAAAATGGATTTCTAAAAATACCTGCCTCTCAGGGGAGGATCCGCAGGCCATGCATGTGGAATTTTATTATAAATGCTAAAGTACCATACATGTGCGCAATTGCCACTTTATTGTGTTGGGTTAGGAGAATTCCCCCTCAATGGGGAAGATTTAAAAGAGTAAACATACTGGGGGAGGGAGTAGGCCGGGCAGCTGGTCAAGGTGCTACAGTGCCAGGGTGCCGGGCAGGTGCCAGGCCCCCACTGGTGGGAGCACAGGGCCCGCAGGGCTCTCAGTAAGGGGGATTAGTCTGACTTTGACCGGTACCTTCTTTTCTTCCTAAGATGAGCTCACACCAGCTTTCAGCCTTTTGGTCACGCCCTATGACTTAAATCTCTGCGTAGCTGGTGCTGTGTGTGCCAGTGCAAAGCGGGAGAGAAATCACCACTTCCTGGTAGGGATGATGTTGCTCACTTGGGCTGTATGTTCTGATGAGGGGGACTTTGTAGTCATTGGGCTGCAGGCTATAATGTCCAGTGCTTTTGAGCAGAGTTAGGTGAGGAATGGAAACAGATGCCAGAGGTCTACTCAGCTCAGCCCTGCTGACTGCCTCCATGCAATGTAGGCACACTCCCCCCACCATCCCTGTCGCTCCCCTGAGGCCAGCCCTTGCAAGCAACTAGTGGTTCTCAGGAGAAATTGTAATGAGGGTTTTAGGTGGCCCCTGTGCCAGGTGAGTTCCTATATCCCTCACTCTGCTCTGAGGACTTCTAGAAGGGGCTCGTGAAACAGAGCTAGAGTAAGAAGGGCAGAGAGATCTTTGGAAAGTGTCAGAAGGGGGGGAGATGAGCCTAATCTGGTGAAAGGGACCAAGGCTTTGTGGACCAGGGCTTGGCAGCCAGCAGAGGCTGCTCAGGCTGTTCTGACCAGCTCCGACTGCCCCTCAGCTCACTCTCCCAGGGATGGGCCTGGAATTCACTGATTGCCTGCTGTGACCCCTGCTGCCTTACCCTGGGGAGGCAGCAAGGACTCGGTGCTGGGCATTGCCTCCAGCGTCCACGCCCTGGACTTCCCTCCTAGTCCTGCTTCTCTCTAGCTAGGAGAACTTGAGCCATTACTTCTCTCTCTGACTGTTTCCCCCTGTGCAAAATGAAGATAGTAAGAGATCCTACCTCCTGGGTTTGGTCTGAAGATCAACGAGTAAATACATATAAGGCACTAGGTTAGGCCTAACTATGTGTTAAAGCACTAAGTCTAAAGAAGCAGCGCCCTGCAGCAGAGCAAGGCTAAGCGTCCTGTCTGAGAGGGTGGAGTGGAGCCCCAGCAGACGCCTGTCTTGACTGGCCTTTCCCTGAGGGATGGATGTGTGTGTGCACCTGTGTGTGCATGTATCTGGGTGCAGCACGTGTGTGTGCGAATTCTGGTGTTGCTGAGAGTGGTGAGTTACCAGGTAGGTCAGGGCTTTCCTGGAGCAGTGCTTTCACACTTTTGGACGTTAGCTTATAGTAAGATTCGTATTTTATATTCCAACACACATGAAATTAAACAAAAAGGGCAGGCTGTGGGAGCGTCCAGGGAGGGGAAGAGGGAGGAAAAGATTACTTCTCTGTGGAGCACATGTTAAGTCACCTCCAGAGTGAGGGGTCAGATCCTTTTCTCTGGGGATCCCTAGACACATGTAGCCAAAACCCCAGGGAAGATGATCCATTGCTTCCTGCTCACCTAGCTCCTAGCTCACAGGTCCAAAAGCTGTGTGTGTGTGTGGGGGGGGGGGGGGTCAGGGAAACAACCTGAGTGATACCCTTCACTCTGCTTCCAGAATGCTTCCCCAGCAAGGTCATCTCCAGCCCGGGCATCCCCAGGACAGGCATCGCCGGCCCGGGCATCCCCTTCCAGGTCATCATCCACCAGGTCGACCTCCATAACGGCCTCGCCAACAAGAGTGTACCTCGTGAGGGCAGTGCCGGTGGGAGCCGTGCCAGTCCGGACAGCTCCTGCTAGGTCAGCACCAGTCACCAGGGCCGCTGGGGAGAGCCCAGGTAAGGGGGTACAGCCGGGTAGGCAAGAGAGATGGGAAGCAGCCCAAGGGTGGGGAGAAAATCTCTGAGCTGTGAATTGGGGCGTGAGTGTGGGGAGAAGGGTCTGTGGTAGACAGTGAGGGGATTGGGGAGGTGGGACCTGAGAGGAGCAAACGCAAGACAGGAAATTTGGGGGCAAATGGAGTAAAGGTGTAAGTTTGGAGGTAGCACGTCTGAGTGCAGATTTCAGGAGCAAGGACCCCTGGGTAGACAGGCTGGAGGCTGCATGTGAGCAGGGCCCTGCTGCGCTGCGTGAGTCCATCTGTGAGTGGAGGGGGAGAGGGGCGGTCTGACCAGGCAGGTCCTCATTCCTAACTCTCTGAGCTGTGGCTTATCTGCTTCAGCTGCTAGGAAGTCAGAGCTGCTGAAAGGGACTGGCTTTGGCCTTCAGGACTTAGTATCATGCCCATCCTGACTTTGCCCTCCTCCTGTCCTGGCCTTCAGGCTGTCCCTACCACCACACAGACAGGCCTGGGGAAGTGTCCGGATTTGGGGCACACCTTGCGCTCTTGCCCTCCAAGGGCTGGCGATGCATTTCATTGCAGGGATCTTGGGAATCACACACACTTTGTGTGGACCCCTACTTTACCACTTGCTAACCAAGTGACCTTGAGCAAGTTATGTGACTTCCACAAACCTCAGTTTCTCCATGTATAAAATGGGCATAAAACCACCCAGCTCATACAGATGCTGTGAGAATTAAATAAAATAATGTGCAGTTGGTTGATCCAGAGTAGATGCCCAGTAAAAGGGAGTGATGGGGGTGAGGTGGCGAGGACCTTCTGGGTGGAGAGATCCTAACGGGCCCTCACGGGCCAGCCTTGTTTCCTTCCCCCTCCTCTTCCGCACCAGACTCCACTCCAACGTCCTCATCCTCCCCTGCTGCTGCCCCACTCGTAGGTATCAGCTTGCCCAAGTTCACCTGGCAAGAGGGCCAGAAGCAGCTGCCGCTCATCGGCTGTGTCCTCCTCCTCATCGCCCTTGTAACATCGCTCATCATTCTCTGTGAGTTTAACAGAGGGACGGGGTGGGATCTGGTCTTTGCTGCGTGGGATGGCATCTTGGGCGAGGGGCATGTAGCCGGCTGACAGGAATGGGAAACAAACTTGCCTAGCTGCAGTGTCCACACAAATGGCCCAGGACCGTGGTGCCCAGGCCCTGTGCAGGTAGTGGGTTAAGAGCAGGAGAAGTCAGGAGCCTGGGCTCGGGTCTACCCGTGCTAGTTATTTTGCAGCTTACTTGGGCGAGTTAGCTCACCACTCTGAGCTCAGTTTCTGCCTCTTCAAGTTGGGTTACATTCATTCATTCATTCACTCATTCACGTATTGCTTTGAATTAATTAAGTTGATCTCCTTAAGACTTCACTGGATAATGGGGGAATAAAAGAGATTATGGCACAACACCTGGCCCTGAATCCCACTCTAAAAAGGAATATAGAATGGTTTAGGAAAAGTCTGTTAGGCATTTTCCATCAGTGGGATAAAGTATTCAGGGGCTCAGCACCGCTGGAGTTTCCCCTTCTCTTTGGACAAGACCCTCAGGACATGTCTCAGGGTTGTCTGCCAGGGAGCCCACTATAACCCAGCAAGTGGGGAACCTGAGGAGGGAGCACAGGGGAAAACACACTATAGTGTCCTGTCCTCAGGGAGACTACAGATGTGACTGGAAATAACCAAGGCCAAGTGCACTTGGCCTTAATTAACACCAGCAAGTTAATTCACTTCCTGGAACATAGAGAAACTGTGTTGAACAAGAGTCAAGAAAAAGACAAAGCCTGCAAGCAGACCAAACAGCAGGAGACATGCCGCAAGGGTGAGGGGCCAGGTCAGCGGAGGGAAGAGCTCTAGGGACGATGGTGATGGGTCATGGGCGCTGCTGTGGCGAGAGAACATGCGGGCTGCGTTGAGCGGTGAAATCAAGCATGTACGAAAGCAAACAATGGTGTAGGAGAATAAATCACAAAAAAAAGAGAGTAAACAAAATGCAAAAAAATTCATTTCTTGGGCCTCAGTGTCTACCTGCCTGACAAGGTGGGAGTGTCACTGTCCTGATGCTCAGAAAGGCCTCTGCACAGGCCACAGGTATCCCGGTGAGCCCCCCGCGGGGACTCGCTGCCCTGCTCTACCCCGCCCACACACTGCTCCTGTCCTGGGGCCACCCCGGTGCTCCACAGAGTAGCAGAAACTAGCCCAGGGGTGCATGAGATGTCACCCGAGGGTGCTGCCTGTGTCGACTTGTAGCTCTCAGGGTGGCTTCACAGTGTCTCCTGGGTCCCCTTACCTCAGGACCTCCCAGGGACAGGCAGGTGGTTTGACACGCGTGGTCAGGGAGTAGCTCCGTGGTGGAGGCAGGACTGCTGCCCTGGGCCACAGCTCCCCACCCAGAGCTCTCCCCACTGC